TGTATGTTATTTGCATTTGCACAATTACATGTAGTCCTTGACTTCAGCAATTAAAATTACAATGGTGTTAAATGTAGGAACTTATGAGCCTGCCTGAAGTTATAGTCAGTGCAAGGCCCCCGTAGTCATGTGAATAAAATATGTGTGCTTAGCAATCCATCCACCTTTACAACCAACTGCAGAGATGCAACACTGTCCTCACCACTACCTATTACCCCCATGCTAGGTTCTTGCAGGTCTTGCGCTGGCTTCCCAATCCTCTGGGTCCTACATCCTCCTCTTCATCTGCCATCACCGATTGGTCACTTACCATTTTTGTTAGATCTTTGGGAAGCAAAGTACCATGCAATCTTTCTATGCAGCAGAGGCCACATGGTGCCATCTCAAAAGCATGTGCCACTTTGGGAGCAGTTGCAATGAATTGCAGTGGCTCCAAAATGGCACCTACTTCGGTGATGGTGTCATGTGGCCTCTAGGGAGGTAAAAGGATGAAACAGACAGCTCTCCTTCAGTGCAATCTCTGGAGATTACATTTGAGAAGGAAGTCTAGCCAATCTGCCCCTTGACCTCCTTACATAGTGGAGGCCATGTGGCAACTATCTTGGAAGCTTAGTGACTACAATGGGGAAAGCAGAGATTGGAGTCATTAAGCAAAATGATTGTGTTGGCACCTCATTTAATTGCTATGGCGACTTTCAGCCATGATGGACAGGTTCCATTATGGTTGTACGTTGAGGACTACCTGTATTACCATGAGTATATTGTCATCAACAATAAATTTATTTGGTACTAAGCATCACTGAAAACAATTTATAAGAGAAATATTAGGTAGATAATTTGTGCAAATTTCTCAAAGGAAGGGAGATATATTCTTGAATCATTTCCCAAGGGCACAATTTTACATTAATATTAATATTAGTGGTAACACTACTGCTGATGAAAATTAATAGGAAGATTTGCCCTATACTATCTTCTCTTGGGTTTTAATTGTAACATATAGAAGTCATGAGGCTTCAGAGATAATTGTGCAGCAAAAGAGAGAATTTTCACCCATATCTCCAGACTGTCTCTTAACTAAGTTGGAGAATATCCAACTTCACCCAAAGAATTTATCTGAAATTCTCTTCTTTTGGAAAAAAAAATTATAAAAAACTAAAATGAATTATCATAGATCAAATTGGATGAGACCTGATTTGAAAATAAAGCAATACAAGATAATCTTTCTGTTTGCCTTATTTCTGAAAGCCAAAAAAACATGCCTTTTGCAGTTGTGTTATGTCCAGTTGTAAATAACTCTGATCTGCTGTTGACATTGTCAGCTTTTAATAATTCTATTTGTGCTGCAAAGAACAGGGATGTAGACAACAAACTTTACTCCAGTTATTTCTACCCTTACTTAATTTTTTATTAAGTTCGGCTGCTTGGCATTCTCTACGGTGTTTATTCTTGATGGTGGATCAAAGTAGTTAGAAGAAGGATATAAAGCCAACATAATGAGCTGTTAAAATTTTCTAATAACAAATAGATTCAGATGGAAGGCTGGGACTCCTATTACTTATCTCTCGGAAGGATAAATAATCCAGGACATGAGATGACAAGGCTGGCATCACTGCACTGTGGAACTTGTAACTCATCTGAATCATTAAACATTTCTGACTACAAAAAATCCCCAAGGGACATGTGACTCCAAAAAGATTGGCAGTGTCCTCAGCTGATATGTCTCATCCAGCCAAAAGTGCCATCTATCAAAAGTATATTGTGTACATTGGCTATGCAGTTGGTATGGAAGGGCAGACATAGGCAGCATTTTTTGAGTCAAGGAATATATCTAGACTTTTGAAGGTTGTACCGGACACCCTCATGATTGCCAGAATGGGTGTGGCATGTAGTCTTATTTGGAGATAGCCACGTGTAAAGCACTTGTTTACCAGAAACTGAAGCAGCAAGGATGTTCCCTTTAAGCTCACAGAATGTCTTTCTTTTTTGAACAAGTGAGGCATACAGTATGTCCAAAGAAAGCATTGGTCTGTAGATACCCACCATTTATATCTTCTAAGAGAAATAAAAAACATACAGGGTATTCTTGCAGACAAAGAGACTGGCGTTTGCTTTATAGATGCTAGCTCCTCTTTTTTTCTATATACCATTACACATTCTGGTGAGTCAAGAACACCATCAAGCAGAGGTGGTATTCAGCAGGTTCTGACCAGTTCTGGAGAACCAGTAGCAGAAATTTTGAGTAGTTTGGAGAACCAGCAAATACCACCTCTGACTGGCCCCACCCCATCTATTCTCTGCCTCCCAAGTTCCAGCTTATTGGCTGGATATTCTTTTGTTGCCCTGCACAGGTCAGTGGGGTGGGGAGGGAATGGGATTTTGCAGTAACCTTGCCCCAGGAGTGAGGAGAGAATGGAGGTTTTACAGTATCCTTCCCCTGCCATGCCCAGGAAGCCATGTCCATGAAGCCATGCCCACAGAACCGATAGTGAAAAAAATTGAATCCCACCACTGCCATCAAGAGTAACTCTCATAGGCTCAGTGAATTTCCAGGCACACTTGCCTATCCCCATCATAGAGTTCACCTGGGGCTATTGTGTCAGGCCCTTTTCGAAGAAGCTCTGAATGGTTACATATTTATTTATTTATATAATTATTGAAATCATTTATACAGCCACTCCCCTTGTATAGAACTCTGGGCAGCTCCCAATCAACACTTATGCACCCTTTTCTGAAAACAAACCAAGGTTGTTATAGCATATGAAATGAGTATTATTCTTGTTCTGAAAGATTGACAGTATGATGGAGAGGCCAATACAAATATCAGTGCTGAATTCTATCAGGTTTCCCCCAAAGAACGACGGTTTCATTTGCAACTGTCTGCTGTTAGTTTTGATGCTCCCAAAATAGTATTGAGTACTGTACATGTTCAGGCTGGGAAACACTAGATGTGAATTATTTTCCATTTTGTATCCTAAACCCCAATAGCTGGAACTCTGAATGTTATCATTTCCTTGCTTTAGAATCAGACTCTATCTCCCTCCCACCTCCCAAAATTTCTGAATGCCTCAGCAAAGTAGGAGTCCAGACTTTTAACGACTAACATGTTTGTAGTAGAAATCAAAGCAGGTTCCATTGTTGGTTTCTTTTACACACAAAAATCTTTATATAACAAGAAAAGAACAGGGAAAGGAGAGAAAATGTTTAACTTCGCATGATGGCTTGACATGACCATTAATGTAAATAGGTCATAAAACAATAATTATTTACACACATTACTATGTCAGTGCAAGCAACGTCTTCTGTTAGTACAGCGCAAGGAGTTGGAACAGACGCAGGCGATGTGAGCATTTATTTAAGAGCAGCTGTACAAAAAGTTTATATAAAAAGGAGCTGAGACCCAATTCCTTTTGGTAACCAAAATAAAATAAAACTTGGCTTCCTGTCAAGTGTAGATTATGTTGTATTTGCATCTGATTATCTGCAGTTTCCAAGTGTGGGTAGATAAATTTCAGCTTACTGTAAGCTTATGCCATATTTGCATCTGTTTACCTGCAGCTTTCAAAGTGAGCCTTTTGTTGCAAAACAGGTGATGCATTGTTGTCCCATCAAGCTGATAGGGTTGCCAAGGCTGGCATCAAAGCTTGCCAGAAACAGGCGCATGCTCAGCCCGGGCCTACTTCCTGCTAGGGCTTCCTGCTATCCCTTGGAGCCTCATAGTATTTCTATTGCTGTTTTCTGCTGCTGGTGTTTTATCCTTCCTGAAGAAGTAAGGAAGCAGTTCTGAAGGTGAGAAGGTTGGAGCAAAGCCTTCGTAGACCCTGAGCCCCTCAAGCTGACTTCTGCTGGGTCTCTAAGTTCTCTTGGCACCATTGCAAAAATACAGGTAGTCCTTGACTTACAGCAGTTAATTTAGTGACCATTCAAAGTTACAACGGCACTGAAAAAAGTGATTTATGACCGTTTTTCACACTTCCTACCATTGCAGCATTCCCATTGATCACGTGATCAAAATTCAGATGCTTGGCAACTGGGTTCATATTTATGACAGTTACAGTGTCCCCGGTGTCACTGGAAACCTGACACCGGGGTCACGTCCTCATCTTTTTCAACCTTCTGACAAGCAAAGTCAATGGGGAAGTCAGATTCACTTAACAACCATGTTACTAACTTAACAAATGCAATGCTTCACCTAACAACTGTGGCAAGAAAAATTGTGAAAACTCATTTAATAAACCTTTCACTTAGCAACATAAATTTTGGGCTCAATTGTAGCCGTAACGTGAGGACTACCTATAGTTAACCTTGGTTTCTTCTGGGATATTTTTTCCCCCAATTATCCAGTCTAGCAATGGAGCTTTGACTTTCATGGGGTTCTGGAAGCTAACCCTCCTTCATTTGTATGATCGGCCAAGGTTGACTAGATTCTGAAATCTGCCAAAAGATAGATTGCAGATCAGATCAGCATCAGAGGTGGTATTCAGCAGGTTCTGACCAGTTCTGGAGAACCGGTACTGGAAATTTTGAGTAGTTTGGAGAACTGGCAAATACCACCTCTGACTGGCCCTGCCCCCATCTATTCTCTGCCTCCTGAGTCCCAGCTGATTGGCTGGGTCTTCTTTTGTTGCTTTGCACAGGAGAACAGAGCTGGAAAGCAGGTTAGTGGGGTGGGTAAAAAATGGGATTTTGCAGTAATCTTCCCCCAGGAGTAGGGAGGGAATGGAGATTTTACAGCATCCTTCTCCTGCCACGCTCATCAAGCCATGCCTAGCAAGCCATGCCATGCCCACCAAGCCATGCCCACAGAAATGGTAGGAAACATTTTTGAATCCCACCACTGATCAGCATTCATTTCAAAGTAAATCATGCCACCAGATAAGTTGCTTATTTTGTGAACAGGATTGAAGTCTTACATGGCACTGATATGAATTGAAGTTCTTATAAATCAAATAGTTTGACTCAAAAACAAACCAGAAATTATGTCCGTCAACCTTTTCCAGCTGGGCAATATCTAGCCATGATAAACTCAGGCATTTTTTTTCATCAAATGCTTACCATGTTTCCCATCTATTCATCCAATTTTAGCTTATTTTGCCTGTATGAGAAAATAAATGTTTCTAAGTAGCGTACATTTCTGGCTCTAAGCTAAAACATAATCAAATTGTCCTTTTTCTAGCCCCTCCAGCCCATCTGTCCAGATGGCAGTTGGCGTAGTCCTATAAGGGTCTAAGAGGATTCGAAAACATCGGACAATGAGAACACCAAGGAAAATAAGCAATAAAAGCACAAAGGCAAAGGTAGTTTTTTGTTCCAAGGTAATGCCAATTTCAGAAGGGAAGTTTCCAGAGGAAAAGAAATTGGAAGTAAAAGGCTCTCCATCCATTCTTCAGAAATCTTAAAACAGGAGTTCTGCAAGTTTCCTTTCATTCTTGATGCACAAAGGCCAGAACTGGAGTCACCTTGAAGTCCATTGTCCTCTGCAAACAAAATGATGAGAAATAGATGTTACAATTGGGATTGTTTCAAAATACTACAGTGTGAAGGGCTTCTAGTTTGGGATTCCAAGCACTCAGCTTTCCTCCCACAGTAGTCCATCCATATTTCATGACTGGTGAGTGTTTCCAGCTCTTATCAAGTTCCTGTTTGGTGGGGAACTCACCCTAGTCATAAGTTTTCATACCATTAAAGTATTACTTATTTGTGAGACTTCAATCACATCCTTGTAGATGCCATTTTGACTTTTTGGTCTTTGTCTAAAATAACCCATCTGTGTTGAGCGTAAAGAGTATAAGGAGCTGTGCCTCAGCTTCTTTTAGTAAAACAGAATTCAACCAGTGTATTTATCTGGTTATTAATACCGTGTTTCTCCAACAATACGGCCTCCACCAATAGGAAGGCCCAGCATGATTTCTAGGCATGGGGTGAAATTAAGCCCCGCCCCAAAAATTTAGGCCTATTTAAACCATGCGTTTCCCCACCAATTCTCACATCGTTCGTTAGAACTACACGAGTTGAAGAGAAATGGGAAGGGAAGGGGGGGAGAAAACTTGCCTTTAGGAGCGCCATGCAGGTAGCCTAGGCTAGAATACCCTGATCTACTACCGATAGAACATCGGCCGATAGAAGCTCCCCAAAGGCAGAGTGACCAGCTGCTTCTATCAGCCAGTAGAAGCGGCTGCTGACTCTGCCTTTGGGGAGCTTCCATCGGGCGATAGAAACGGCCTTGTGAGGGGAGCTTGCATTAGTTGTCTTTGAATCTACCAGCAGGGCAGGAGAGAAAGCACACGCGTATCTGTGTCTGGATGAAAATTGTGAGATTGTGACAGAGGGAATGGGAGAAAACGCCTTAGCCCAAATGTATTCTTGTTTTGCTTTCTTACCCATTCTCTGATCAATCTCTCTGGGGCAGCTTTTAGCCTAAAATCGCCCAGGTTTCCCTCAGCTAAAAGAGAGGGGAGGTTCCAAAGACCATGCCTAACCTCTGCCATTTGAGAGGACCAAACTTATTGCTTCTCAAAGTTAGACCCACAAGTTTTTCAAAAGTTCTTCTGAATGCCTCCGACGTCCGATGAAATCAAGAAATGTCTCGTGACTGAACTCAATCAAAAAAAAAAAAAAAGAACCTGCACCTCGTCGCCAAGTCCCTGGTTTTACGGCTCCTCTCTCGTCCCGAATTATGCCGAAATAAGGGATTCTGAGGCTGGCGTTGGTTAATTGGTTAATGACAGGCGCTCTTTCAGGCGCTCAGAGAGAGAGAGAGAGAGAGAGAAAAGAAGGCATCGCTGAAGTTATCAGACTCCCCCCAACTGTCAGCAATGCCACCCGTGAGCATGGCAGGATTGCCTCGGATCATGTGCAGAGTGCCTTCCCCGATCAGCTCCCCCCCACGACTCAAGGTTCATACTAAAATTAGGCCTATCCAATATTCGGCCCTCACTAGAGCAATAGACAGGACGGTTTAGCTTCTCTCCTGCCCTTCTTCACTCCAGCTCCCTCCCGCCCTCCTGTGCCGTGGTGGTGACCCTTTCACACTCACCCCGCTTCCCTGCTGCATTCCTACAAGGACCACTCCCGCGTCTCCTTTGAGGAGCCCGCCCGATCTCCCTTCTAAGGGTAGCCGAGCTCTGCTTTCTCCTCTTCCCTCCCTGGCGCCCCCCCCTGCTCCCCAAACCAGCGGTGGCAGCAGGTACCGTATTTATCGGCGTATAACACGCACTTTTTTCCCCCTGAAAATAGGGGGCAAATGATGTATGCGTGTTATACGCCGATATAATGTTAAGAAGCCTTCGGTGAATGCTGCTGGGATCGGGGATCAAGGACACAAATGAAAGAAGGGGAGGGAGGAAGCAACCGAAGCCTGTCCTTCTCTCTGGGTCAGCTCTCTCAGTCGCTCTCTCGCTCCTCCACCAGCACAGGAAGAAACTGCTTCAAAGAAGCGGGGGGGGGGCTTTTCCTGTCGCCGCAGCTTCCCTGAAGCGCCCGTTTCTCCCCCACCCCCATCCCGTCCGCCCGCCCGCCCGCCCGCCCGCAGTGCTCCGTTCTGCCTGCCTGCCTGCCTTCGTTAATGGTTGAATCGGAACAGCTTCGGCTGAGTAAAAGAGGCGAATAGTTATTATTCTCAGCCGAAGCTGCTCCCAAACAACCAGAAACTAAGGCAGGCAGGCAGGCAGGCAGAATGGGACACTGTGGATTGAAGCGCGCGCGTGGGGTGGGAGTGGGGGTGAAATTTCCCTCTTAAAATGAAGATGCGTGTTATACGCCTGTGCGTGTTATACGCCGATAAATACGGTAAATAGAGGTCGGTTGCCCTGGGACTTTGGCAAGGTGCCCGGAAAAGGTCTGGCCTGGGGGGGGGGGAGGGCGGCAGTGGGAACCCCGCAGATGCTGAGACCTTCCCTCGCCAGAAGGGCTTGGCTGACCTGGTGCAGGGACAAGGGCTAGCAGGGGTGGTGTGTGTGTGTGTGTGTGTGTGTGTGTGTGTGTGTGTGAGAGAGAGAGAGAGAGAGAGAGAGAGAAACTCAGCTTGCTTCCCTTCTGCTAAGAAAAGTTTGCAGCCACTCTCCCATGCACACTCCCCTTGCCACGAAGATGTTTCTATCGGCCAATGGAAGCGGCTGGTTACTCTGCCTTTTGGGAGCTTCCATCGGCTGATAGAAACGGCCTTGAGGAGAGTGTGTGTGGGGCACTCCTCTCAGGAGTACCCTGTGGGCAGCCACGCCTCACCCCAAAGCGGCTGGTGACTCTGCCTTTGGGGAGCTTCCATCAGCTGATAGAAACAGCTTCGTGGTGAGGTGAGTGCGCGTGGGTGCTTGCCCCAAGGCCACTTCTACCGGCCGATAGAAGCGGCTGGTGACTCTACCTTTGGGGAACTTCCAGTGGCAGCCTCATAGAGAGGTGAGTGCGCATGGGGCACTCTAGGTGGAGGTGTGCGTGGCGGAAGAAATTAAGTCACCCCCGAAAAGACGTCCTAGCCATTTTTTCAGGGCTCAAAAAAAATAAGACCCGGCCTTATTTTATGAGAAACACGGTATCAATATTACTGGACACTTATTAAAAAGTGCTCAAGAGAATTCAGGTGAACTAACAAATAATGCTTTGGAAGAAGAAATAATAATTAACTAAACTGAACATAATCCAACAATTAAATAAAGAGGAGGAAAGTGGTTACACTGTTCTATCACTTTTCTCTTCCTCTCTCCCCCTTCTCTCTCCTCTCTCTCTTATCTATCTATCTATCTATCTATCTATCTATCTATCTATCTATCTATCTATCTATCTATCTATCTATCATCATCATCTATCTATCTATCATCTGTCTATCTATCTATCTATCATCTGTCTATCTATCATCTATCTCTTTTTTTCAATGGAGATAATCACATTTCCTGACTACACACTGAATTACAACCAAACATTTGTATTGTCTAAGAACATGTTTGTGGTGCCCAGAGCCTTTTTTTAGATAAAGAAGATATTAAAAGTATTTGTTAATTAATTTAATTTTTTTTAAAAAAGTAAAAATATATTTCTAGACGTATCAGAAATCTTTTCTCCATTGTATATATTCCAGTAAAACAAAGGCAAAATCCCCACAACACAACAAAAGATAAGTACTTAGATGAGAACCATCAGGACAATTCCAAGTACATTTGAGTAATAAATTAACTTTTTGTGTGACATTACATAACATATTGGCATTATGACTTCCCCACACCTATGCAAGGAGATTGGCAAAGACAGTTCACTGTGCTGTTTGTAGACAAATTGTTCTTCTCAACCAACTTATGACTAGCTTCTTTTGCAAGGTTTGTTTTTTCTGTAATAGTGCCAGCCAAGGAACTCTGTCGTGTCCTTGGAAGAATTAACTTCAAGAAAGCCAAAATAAACAATGGGCACTCCTCACTTTGTTCTTACATTTTACTACAGGAGAAACAACAGCAGGTTATTTGACATCTCCTTGAGAGTTCAGTTTACCACCCCAAACTTTTCTCTCTCTCTCTTTTTTTTAGTAAAATTGGTTCAAGGGCCTTATTTCTGCCAGCAGCCTTTTTGTTTTTGATTCAATCATTCCGTGGCTTTTCATATTTTTGTGGCCCAGTGGGTATCAGGATTGTCCATCAGTAGCTATTTATTTGAAACGATGTCTTTGAAATCATCAGTTTTGCAAACAGCTTATGATCTGAGCTGCAGCTAGATGCAGAACCTGTTCTGTCTTTCTTTGAGGAGCTTTTCAATTTGTTTGCAGGGTGTATGGCTAACTTGATTTGGATATTGTCCAACCAACGTTGTCCAAGTATTTGCCACAAATATTGGGTTTTCTTGGCAATATTACATGAGTCTGTTTCCTGCTTTATTTTGCCCATAGGGGCCAAATTTTCCTGTTATTCCAGATGTTACTTTGTTTCTATCTTTAGCATACCAGTGTTCAAAATTAGTATGGCGTCTTCCAGGGGGGAGTGAGGTTGTCATCCAGTTATTGCAGATCATCATAGAATTGTCCAACTTATGCTTCTTTTGCACCTGTGCTAGGAGCATAGATATGAATCACTATAATTATAGAATAGTTTGCCTTGGATTTGAATTGAGATTGTTCTATCTTTTTCAGATTGTATCTGTGCCCTGATTACGATGCTATTTAATAATAATGACTCCTCCATTTCTGCTCTGATTTCTCCTGACAACAGTAGATCTGATGCTCCTCTGATCTGAAGTGACATGTTCCAGTACATTTTAGTTCACTGATTCCCAGAATGTGAAAGCTCAGTCTTGATGCTTCTGCTCTGACAACTTCTAGTGTGCCCTGATTTATGATTCTGACTTTCCTTATACCAATGAAATACATATTTTTGCAGCATCCAACTTTCCTTTTGCCTGCAGTCAGTATGCAGGAGCAAAACATCCTCTTTGCTTTAATCTAGCCACATCAAGCACTTGTTCCCATTTGCCCCAGGCTCTTCCCCATTACTTCAATGGACACTTTCAATCTCAGAAACTCATTTTCCAATATCATGTTGATAGTTATGTTTTACTTATGAATGTTCATTTGGTTTTCTTGAAAGAATGTTGCAATGGGTTGCCAATTCCTTCTCCAATGAATTGCATTCTGATCTCAGCTATGAGCTGTTCATCATGTAT